CAAATTATTCCCCATTTAATTCTGGATATATTGCTATAGCAATATACACTATTAGCCTATAGGATGAATCACTGAGGATTTAGCTGGAAGCTAAATATTTATTTAAGCCTTTAGCTGCTCTTGGACAGTTTATGGTTTTTAAGTATTCATCCTCGTGAAGTTGTCGCCACACATTAGTGCGACATTTATTTACATTTTTGTGTTCGAAGACTTATTTAATTATCTTTCCGAAAATTCGGAAGTGTAAAAGAATAATGAAAGAGTGTAAATGACGCCGGTCATTTTTGAGGGTCGCTGAATATATTGAAATTAAAACACAAAGTAAGTCAATTTACATTAACCCGGTTATTTAGAATTAATAATCCGAGTAAAGATCGATAAAGCATTACATTGATTTAAAACAAAAATCCTTTAATTAATTTATTTATAACTGGTTAGTGCTTGTTTATATACTTCGACTGGTTGTCAATCTAAGAATATCTCAGCGTATAATACTTTTTTAAAGAGGAACTTTAATCATTTATTTTTATATCTACTTGTCTTGTCTTGTTCTAAGCACTCGGACTCTACAACTAATGGAACCTCGATGCTCACCAATTGATCAAAAACCCTACCCGCTTATCTTAATATTTTCCATTATTAAAGATCATATGAAACTCAGTGGAGGCTGGTGGGTGCTGGTGGTGGGGATGCGACTTTAAATAAAATACCGTTAGTCATAGGTATAAAAAATTGTCAAATTAAATATAATAAAACAAAACACAGTACACGTATTATTATTTTAAAGGTCGCAGTAGAAAATAGAAATGAGAATAATAATAATGGCGATTATATTATAATAGCAACCGATAACAACAAGCAGTTAATTTAAAAAATAAATTACCCTTAATATTAATACACAAATATTCACGACTATTAGTCGTGACTATTAGACGCTGCCGGTTGTCCAAATACTGTTTGTTTGTATATGTTTACCCGCTTATATTGAAGAAAACAACTTCAATGTTCGCACACGAAAAATGTATTAAAACTATTTAAAAATTTACATTTTTAATAAAAATGTAGAATTAAGAATAAATAAGTAATTTTCTTGTTTTAATTAATGTTAGCAGGGGGTGCGATCGTCCCTTCGTCTAAGCCACGAGCCGCCAATGATGAAACTAGTTTTCTAATAATAAATTTTGAAGGGGTTCCAAAGATATTTTAAAGAAAGAACCGTTTAAAGGCGCTATTAATTGTATTTTACTAGTAAACAAGAAACATCCATTAACCATTACATGACAATGAATTTTAGCCATGTGATACTATAATACCACTCACTTAATATGTTTTGTTTTAAAATATATACATTTATGTAATTGAGTTAGAAAATGAAATACTTTGATCGAAAAGAATTATTTCAAACTTCTAATTTCTTTATTATAATTTAAATAACTATGAATTACTGTCTAAAAATGACTGTGCATTTTCATATTTACACTAAAATAAAATAGCTAATTTCTAGATAAAATATCATATGTTACTTGTAAGAATTCAAATTGACAAAGGACACCTGTTTCTCCTCCTATATAATTTTTTTACAGCTGTTGGGCAATTACGATTTTTGTCGATTAGCTAAAATACATATACAACTATTTTTACTTTTGCGACGCGTTGATTTCGACCGAGACAATCTACTACTTTTTCTTTTTCCTCGCCATAATCCCAACTACTTGAGGTCGGCTACTCTTATTCTAAACTTCCACATGACACGATCCAAGAATTCCGGGAATGAATCTAATTATTGAAGTATCTAACGCACTCTACGGAAGCGCAATATTTGCTAGGCCAGGCCTACTCATAGACAGCGCTGCATTCAGTCGCATAAAAAACATTAAAATACTAACCATAGAAATCAAAAAATGTACAACTACATTGATATACAAGCCACCAAACGCTGATTTTACCTTTGAAAAACCATGTAATTTTGAAAATAGCCTCACCAAAATAGTAATTGGAGATTTCAATAGCCTTAGTCCTACCTGGGAATACTCAGAAACTGACCAAAACAGTGAAAAGGTTCTAGAATGGGCTGAAACTCAGTTACTCTATTTAATTCACGAGCCTAAGCTTCCAAATTCATTTAATAGTGAGCGTTGGAGAAGAGAGGATACAACCCAGACTTAATCTTTATAAGTAGTAACATAAGCCAGCAATGTCTTAAGGATGTATGTACTCTAGGGTGGCCCTCAAAAATCGAATGTCTTTTTTTTTTTTACAGTATTTATGAAAATAAAATTGTATTGATCCATTCATTTTTAAAAAGGTAATAGCAATATGAAGTCTTCTTATTGACGTGTCCGATTATAAAAAATGCCAATATCAGTTATATTAATAATTCAAAATAAAATAAGATGCAGGTAATTACTTAGATAATAAAATAAATAAATATAAATAATAAATAAGAAGAATATTTAAATAAATCAATTTGGTACGTCTAATAAAATAACATTTTTGGAACGTTCTATATGTTGTGTTACGACCAGTAAGCAGTCACTTCTAGAGCATTTGTGTTTGTCAGAATCAGATCTTTTTTGGTGCATTGTACTGGGCTCATGGTGCATTACAAAAGGTGTTCATCAGTCTGTCGTTCTCCACATTCGCATGTGTCATCTTCTCCATTAAAGCCCGATTTTTCCATGTTAGCTTTAATCCTCGCCACCCTGGCTTTCAATCTGTTAAGATTTTTCCATAGTGTTGTGTTGTGTTGTGTTTTTGGTATAGGAGTACATTAGAGTGGCCCTCAAAAATCGAATGTCTTTTAGCTTCGATGCGAAGCTGAGAAGGTATTGGTTTTACTATGATGTGTTTTTTTTTTTTTTT